TTTATTATGTATCTTCATATGTGAGATGGCTTGCAGACATGAGTTTAGATTTGCACACCGAGACACGTGTGAAATTAGTGTATATACATCCTTTTCATATATCTCATCGATATTCTACACATTTCATTCAGTCCATGTGTTGGGAAATTATTATGTGCAGTCCATGTTGTTGGACATTCATTATATTCAGTCCATGTGTTAGACATTCATCATTCAGTCCATGTGTTGGACAATTTATATATGCAGTCCATGTGTTGGGCATCCACTATACTTAGTCTTAGTCCATGTATTGGACACCTGTTTAAACCTTGAGTATGATACTTACACTTACATAGGCTGGACATGACACTTATGTGGGTTTTGACATGACATGATATTTGAGTTCTGAGATGGGTTAGTTTTCTTTATATTATTGTTCCTGTATTAGATCTTGGGTTTGGTATTTAGGGATTTATAATTTGAGATACAAGGTATATACATGAGGGTTTCCTTGTTTGATTATGCTCGTGTTGTAATTTTCTAAATACTAAAATCCTCTTATTATTAGGATCAATGATTTTATGTATATATGTATTAACTGTATTTTCTATACGCAACGAGCCCTCTCCCTTGGGGTTAGTTGTGATGTTACTCACTAGCACTTTGACGCTCGTTGTCCCCTCCCATTTCAGGTAATGAGCTAGGTGCACAGAGAGTCGCAGGTTGATGGCGATACTTATTAGCGGCCATCTTTCATTTGTAGTTTTATTTTATTTATGGAGATCTACTGTAGACATTTTGTTTAGACATTTGAGTGTTATATTCTAGAAGTTGTAAAGGTTGTGTGCCTTATTTTCCTTTATCAGATATTCTGTATTTGAGACTTGTTGAGATCTCCAGACTAGTTATTTCAAAGATTCACTTTATATTTTTGTATGTTGGATGATAAAATATTATTTTTATCTCTATTATTTCATCATATATCTCTTGTATTATCTTTTACTTGCTTTTGTACCTACACCTGTTGTTGACTCTACTAGAGAGATAGTAATTGTGATGGTGAAACATGTATATTGCATGGTGTGGTGAATGACAGGTTTGACATTCCTGGTTTCACCTCGGACTGTAGCCTTGTGTGAACCCAGGGGCATCACAATCTTAGACGTAGTTCACATCCCATGTTAATAATTCACGAATTTTGAGAAAAAACAATTAATTGTAGAAATCTAGAAATTTTGTGTTTCAGTGTTCGGGTTGGTCGACTGACCCCATTGATCAGTCGACCGATCAGTTCTTCAAAACCTTGTGTTGCCTCTCTAGTCGGTCGACCGATATAGGTTATCAGTCAACCGATCGAGGCTGTTCAGTTTGTGCATGTTGTGCTCGTTGCCGCCCGATCGACTGATGGAATATCAGTCGACCGGCCGTATGTCAGTCGACTGATTTCCAAAATCAGCCGACTGATCTGGTGCTATTCTGCTTATGATGATCTTCTTCTTACGTTTAGTTGTGAACATGAAGGACGGGACCGCACGTCAATGTACGTGCATGGCTATGATAGTGTACACGTTTGATTTAGGCATGCACGGATCCTCGGGAGTGCGTGGCCATGTGTCGAGCTGTCACGATGTAAGGGAGACAACTTTCGAGTTACATAGTTAGCGTTAAATGTCTGCATGGATGATCGAGAGAGGTTGTGAGCCGCACGAAGTTGCGATGAACCACGAGACACTGCGAGTACCTATGCTCCGTATAATACTTGTTCATGGATGTCCGAGTTCAGTTGTGAGCCAAATGAGATTGTGATGAATCACAGGATGTTGTGAGTACCGAGACTCCACATTCCTTTGTTTGCATTATGTTCCGGATTAGGTTGATATACCTATACTCCGCTGGGTGTCCGAGTTAGGTAGTGAGCCACATGATATTGCGATGAGCCACGAGATATTGTGAGCATCTATACTCCACACTATTTTCATTGAAGAGAATTACATAGGATTGTGTATTTGCTCCCGTGTCATCTACCCTGAGGGTAGTGTGTAATATTGTGTTTAGACATGCACGAGGTGTCCTTGACAAGGTTTTTCACAGGTTTGTATTTTTCTTCATTCCCGTGCCACCTACCCAAGGGTAGTGTGAGAGGCTATGATACAATATATACTAAGTATTTTGGATGAGGTGTTGGTGATGTATTTTCTTTTGTTGATTATTTATTTATAGGATTCGGAGTTAATATTTAGTGATCTATAATTTGAGATATATGGTATATATATAAGGGTTTCCTTGTTTGGATTATTCCCTCGACGTACTCATCTTGTGTTGCGGGTTTCTAAATCTTAGCTCCTCTTAGTACAGGATAAATGATATAGGTAGATTATGCATATTATAGGTAGAGCCTCCATTATGTACGTGATCCCTTCCCCTGGGGATGGGCGGATATATTCTTGCTAGCGCTCTGACGCTATTGTTTTCACCTTTTTTTAGGTAACAGGTTAGAGTTGCGATGAGTCGTAGGTTAACGAGGATTCAGCATAGTCACCGTCATTCATAGGTAGCTAGTTGGTGCTCCGCAGTGGACTATTTTATGGTTTTAGTTTTCTTTTAGAGATGCATTTCATTTTGGAGCCTGAGTGCCTTTGTACTTTTTAGTTGACTCTTATGTATTAGAGACTCGATGTTCTTATTCTAGTTTATCAGATGTATTTTTTTTCTTCTGTTAGAATATAATTATAGTTATTATTGGATATCTCTTCTCTATATTGTGTTCCTTGTATTTTCACCTTTGATACATCTTCTTGTACCCTCACTTTTTATTTTTTTGACATCTGCTAGAGTAATATTAATATGATGGTGAAACATGTTTATGCGCAGTGTTGGATGCATGACATGTTTGACATCTTTGGGTTCCTCTTGGACTGTAGCCTTATGTGAAACCAGGGGTGTCACATATCCACAACACTCTTGTCTCATCTGTAGCAAGACGTGGAAGGATTTCCTCTATTTGGTGTCAGCCAAGAAGTGATGTACAAACTTTTGGCTGAGTTGCTTGAAGCTGTTGATAGATTTCTTGTCCAAGGAGTTCCACCACATCTTGGCACTTTTCGTCAGGGTGATAGGAAAATCTCTACAGATGATCGGCTCGACACTTACTATATGTTAATCAGATCATAGAAATTATGTGCATGCTTTGCTGGATCTCCCTCACCTTTGTACTTCTCAATATGAGGCATCTTGAATTTGGTGCAGGGGCATTCATTATCCAGTCGGTGAGTGGAGTGTTCCCTTCGAAGGTCTCGATGATAGTGTTGAACGTCTGGTCGTAACCTTATGCTAGCTTGGTGGTGGAAGAACCCAGAGCAGTATAAGGGTATCTGGGGCCGCAAGAAGTGGTCCATGTGGTCTGCTCAAGGCTATGGCTAGGGCTTTCCCTTGTTGCCTCGATGTACGGCTGGGTATGTCAAGGTGGAGCAGCAAAGCAAGCCTGTTAATGATGTGGAGGAGAGGTGTGCCCGGCATAGTCTTCAGGTGTTCTCTGTTCGGCCTGACCCACAAAAGAGGGAAGAGGAGGAGCGAATGATAGAGAAGGCTGCTGAGGAGGATTCCGACTAAGGATTTTGTTCATGAAGAAAGCGAGCTGCTGCTGGAGAGATTGAGAAGCAGACTCCTCTAATTAGGCTTGAGTGACAAAGCCCATGTGTTGGTCTTCAGCAAATGGGCTGGAGGATCGTCCTGGGTGATTAGAGCTAGCCATTCTATGCAAAGAAGAAAGAACGGGCCCACGGTGGGTGCCAATCTGTTGATGTCAGTTATCTAACATGGGATTATGTGTGGATTATGTGGGGTTGGGGTCCTCAATCTTCTTCAAACGTTTGGTTCTTGAGGAATGAGTCTAATCCTACACATGAACAACACATAAGAGGTCAAAGTTGGGATCTCCGATGGTTCCTCTGACGATCAAGTCAATAGAGAGTTTGAGTGGGAAAGGAGAGTTAAGTATTGAGTTTTCTAGCCAGAGATTGCTTACCCTAGTCAATAAACAGCAACTTCCCTTTATAGCAAATCTAAGGGTTAGAAGAGCAATTTCGATCGAGTCTAAGCAGGTGGCTCAGTCGACGGCTACATTATAGGTGTCGGCTGCACAAGGGGATGAGTCACTTAGGCGCTTAATGTGAGGGTGGCTGGGTGTGCATACTGCTGATGAGGTCGGATGAGTCCTAACGACGTTCTGGGCTAGAGAAATGATAACTCTGATCATGCATTTAATATGATGGCAATTGATTATCGACGGGGGAGAAAAGGATACACTGCCCTTCGACTCGTCTCTCTGAGAGGGTCGATAAATGATGCTTCTTGTCTCGATCTTGCGAGTGGGTGGGCCGATAAGTACCGCCTTTTTAGTCGCCCTCGAAGGTTGTCAACCGACCTTGTGGAATGGAGAAGAGAGCAGTTGACATCGACATGTAAGTTGAGTGAGGACGTCTTTCGACTCATCCCTTGTTAGGAAGAGTTAAGTGCTGAAGCCGTTTGAGTCATCCCTCATAAAGTGTGGTTGCGCTAGCATTCAGTTAAGGTGGGACACGTGCTAGCTCCTCATCGAGGATCAATACTTAGCCATTTGCATGACATAACACATATATGCCCCTCAAATCTTCTATATTTAGAAATTTACCCTCCAGATCTTGATATTTATAAAATTACCCTCTAGTTCTTTTTTATTAGAGGTTACTACCCCTCAATTCAATAACATTAGTCTCTAAATATGACAAGGTCAAAAAAATTTGATAATTTCAGTATGTTTGCAACAATTTTCTATTTGGACCCCATATTATTAAGTGGGAATGGTAAAAAAACTCAGTATGAGAGAATTAAGTGGTTATTTTGCAAATATTTGAGGTTTGAGGGGGTAATCCTCCAAATACGTAGCCTGTGATGGGCATATGTGCAAAAACACCTTATTATTATTAAGATTTTTTATATTTTAAATGCATTCTCAAACACCTGTCTTCTAGAATCAGGCCGAAGCCTCGACTGCCAGCCGTCAATTTCTTCCCAACTACCGTTTTTATTAAAAAAATCGATTGAATGAATCTGAAAGTTTCCAGAAACTTCCATTGCCCAAATACAAAGGCACCCAAAAGAAGAAATCAAGAAATATAAACCGACGAAAATTCAAAAGGAATAAAAAAGAAGGGGAAAAAATGGCAGCTGAGGGGGGCAACGAGAAGAAGAGAGTGATGGTGGCCATCGACGAAAGTGAGTGCAGCCACCACGCTCTAAAATGGACCCTCACCAACCTTCGTGAGACTCTGACTTACCCGATCATCGTATTCACGGTTCAGTCTCTCTCCGAGCTCACCATTCTTCCCGCCGCTTCACTGGGGAACGTCTGTAAGTTATTTTCTTTTTTCCTTTTTTGGTATTTTTAGAATGATTTAGAGACGAATATGAATACAACTCTGTTCTTCTGTAGCACCGGAGTTGATTCAGTCAGTGAGGGACCATCAGAAGAAGGTATCGGGGGCTCTCTTGGAGAAAGCTAAGGAGATTTGTGCTCAGTTTGGGGTATGGCTAAAAACCCTTTTCTTTTTGGGATTAATTACACCTCAAAATCCAATAGTTTCCCCTACTTTGCTATTTTATGTCCTTAGCATCTCCAACGTTACTTCAAAAAAGCCATTTTGACGCCAAAAGAACACCAGAACTGCCTCTAACCTGGCGCCAAAACTTGCACTATTTTGGGAAGTTTTTTATTTTTCCCGGTTTGCCTTTAAAATTGGTTATAACAAATCAAATATTCCAACCATATCCCATTTCATCCATCATATTTCCTATTTGGTGTAAAATTTGGTGTAATGGGTTGGAGATGGAATGGTGATTTAGTGTAAAAACTGTAAAAACTACACCAACTTGGTGTAAAAACTACACCATTTTGGGTTTTTAGGTTGGAGATGCTCTCACTTCTTTTTTTCAGCACTTAATACACCTAATGTGTTTATAATTTGTAAACTCAGTTATGCAAACATGAGAACTTTCTCCAAAAAAATTCACATGCAATACTCGTATTGCATGCTAATCTTAGAACATTTCAACTTTTAATATTTGTTAGATTTATTATTAAACTTATCAAGATCATTTTCTAAAATAGAATTGGCGTAGGCTTAAAATAGAACTACGATAGACTTAACAGTAATTCAACAAAATTAAGGTTTAAATAAATGATAAATGACAACAGTCCTTTTCAATAATGTGAAAATACAAAAGTAATAAAAAGTCAATGATATGAAAATAAAATAATATTAAAAAGATAAGTTTTGATGAAGCTTACTGGCGATAATATCGAACCAAGAGATAAAGAGCTGGGACGAGCCCAGAGGGGCAGGCGGGGGAGCCTCTCTGGCTTTTTGTTTTAGGTTGTTGCCTCATTTTCAATGGAATTGTCTAATTATACTCGTTTTACACATGAAGAAGAATGCATCCAGCTTTGTTGGCTACTTTCAGTTTAAATAAATGATAAATGACAACAACCCTTTTCAATAATGTGAAAATACAAAAGTAATAAAAAGTCAATGATATGAAAATAAAATAATATTAAAAAGATAAGTTTTGATGAAGCTTACTGGAGATAATATCGAATCAAAAGATAAAGAGCTGGGACGGCCTAGAGGGGCAGGCGGGGGAGCCTCTCTGCCTTTTTGTTTTAGGTTGTTGCCTCATTTTCGATGGAATTGTCTAATTATACTCGTTTTACACATGAAGAAGAATGCATCCAGCTTTGTTGGCTACTTTCAGTTTTCACAAATGTGAAAACTTGATGTTGGCCAATGGCTTACTGTCTTGGCAATTTAATCATTATTTTCTTTTTGAACGTAAACAGCTGGTTCCTTTTGTTCCTGGGTAGCTTGTTAAGATCTTGTTATGGTTGTAGCATTTAATTTTGTCTTGGGCCTTACTGTTTTATGTCTTTACTACTCAGACATTTAGAATTGTAATTATTGCTCAACTAGCTATTCAGTAATTCCTTGTTTCTCAAATTGACTGGTTATCTAAGAGATGGTCTTTGAAAGATGAACAGGGGATTTGATTTTGCAATCTCTTTCTTTTTTTCATTTTAACATATTTATATATACTTGGGATTGTTCCTTGGGATAGTTTGGAGCCAAATGTGATAATTGTCTCAATGGGATAAATTTAATCTATAGGGACAATTTGAGCGGGACAAAGTGTGATAATTTGGGATAATGAGATAATTTAAAATTGTGACTGGGACTATTTAAGTGGGACAATTAATGATATGACATCTTATTAAAATATCATATTTATTAGATTTCTCATGATTTATCATAAAATTTAATATAATATTACAGTCAATTATTTTAATTTTTTATCATAATATTCACCATACTTATCTGTATAATACTATTAATTAATATAATATCATAATAATATAATTAATAAATACTTTTATTATTAATTACTATAATATCATAATAAAATATTGCCTAATATATTTTAAAAATGTTTAATACTATTACTATAATATAATGTATATTATAATATATTGTGTTGTGTTGTATGAAAGTAATATATTATAATATATATAATTGATAATGTCATAGATTATATCATAATATTAAATGAAATTATATTTTAATTATATTATATTACAATATGCTTTAATAAATAATGTAATATATGTGTGTGTCTATATATGTGTGTGTGTGTGTGTGTTTACGTACATATATGTATGTATATATATATATATGTACATGTAATAATATATATTATTACATGTACGTGTATAATATATACACATACATATAATTATATGTATATATACGTACATATAAATTATATATATACATACATATAATTGTATATACACATATATTTACATGTATGTGTGTATATATACACATACATGTAAATAAGTTGTATAACATATTATTATACATTGCGTGTATATATATAGTATATATATATATATATATTATATATAATATAACTATATATATAGATATATATATATATATTATATATATATATATATATTATATATATATATATATATATATATTATATAATATATATATTATATATATTATATATATATATGGGTATGCTTGGTACCACAGCAAAATGGTGCTTGATAGTGATGTGTCACATCTCATACTACTCATTACCCATGTGAATGTGGTCGCCATATTTGAATGAGTGAGGGAGATGTGACACATCACTACCAAGCACAACTTTTGTGCTTGTACCAAGCATACCCATATTCTCTAATATATATTACTATATATATATATATATATATATATATATATAAACTTATGTCAACTTAAGTAGACGTTCACTAAGTTTCTTAGTTATTGATGATCACTTGATTGAGCTACATTGTGAAAGATCCGTTCCGTTGAACTTGATCTATATATTATAAAACCCTAACACATCAAATTTAGGGTGAACCCGTCGAGGTTTGACCTTCCGTCAAGCCATGTAAAAAGTTCTATTCATTCGAACCCGTTAAAATTGATACGAGTGGATGAAGGGTCAAACCATGACGCGTTCACCCCAAATTTGGTGTGTTGGGGTTTTAGAATATGTAGATCAAGTTCAACGGAGCGGATCATCCATAATGTAGCTCAATCAAGTGATCATCAATGACTAAGAAACTTAGTGGACGTCCACTTAAGTTGGCATAAGTTTTTCTCTCTCTCTCTATATATATATATATACACACACACGTACATCACTAGTAGAAAAACGAGCAACCTAGACGAAAATTTTCGTTTAGGTTGCTCTATTTCCCGTCTAGGTTGGTACACCTAGACGAAATTTCATCTAATTTGCTCCATCTAGTCCGATTCCGTCTAGGTTGGGGCAAACTAGACGGAATTTCGTCTAGGTTGACCAACCTAGACGAATATCAACCTAGACGAAAGTAAGAAATCCATCTAGGTTGTCTACCTAGACGGAAATCCGTCTAGGTTGGCAACCTAGATGGATTTTCGTCTAGGATGCTAACCTAGACGGAATTCCATCAATGTTGTTACTGTTGCTAATTCCGTCTAGGTTGCTCTGCTACAGTAGTTTTATTTTGTAGAATCTACGTTCCACGCTAAATAATATCCAACACCAAATCATGTTCATATCCAACCCAATCTAATTATATTTCAATATCAAATACAATTATAATACATTCACCAAAATACTAGAGTGTAACATAAATTATTTACATAGACAATAACTAATTTTCACACGTCAAGGATTTATACAATGAAAGAGTTCGCGAAAGCCATGAGAAATGTAAATTTACAGATGTGAAGAGAAGTAGAGACAAAGCAGTATTATTCCCAATCAGAATCAAAGAAACCGACATTCTTCATCTCATAGTAGTATACATTCTCCAAACGCATGTCATCCTCCTGTATCAATACAGGATAAAATAATCCAAATAAGAAACAAAAAATCCACTAGAACAAACCAATGGAATATAAAACATAAGCAAGCATAAACAAGAGAGAACAAAAGCTTCTCACAATTCACAAATGTCAAACGCCATATCCAAAATGTAATTAAAGGTATTATAATAAGCCAATGTCATTGATTTAATTCACTACTGAGGCATGCAATAGGCCATGGAGGTCATCGTCAAGTCCATTGAATATTTTTAGGAAGAAATGATTTATGAGTTGTAGAACTTGATTGAAGAAGCATGGATTGATTTGGGTCTTATTAATATACAACCTGAATACAATTATAGTTAGTTCTAAGTTATCTTGTAAATGCTTTATGCTTGTGATATGGAGCATAAAAGAATTGTAACAATTTAATCACAACAACAGATTTATGATAAGAGAATCAGGAAATAAAGTTCTTAGACGGTAAATAATCAACTACACTGAAGTTTATGCCAAATATTGGTGCATGCAAGAGGAACCCAAGAGAGGATTAAGAAAAAGAGTTTTTCCTTTAGAACACACGTGGCATTTATGATGGGATAAAAAACATACATCAGAAGAAGAATGCATGAGAGAACAAGTATTACCTGTATAAACATAACACTAAGAAAGAAGCTTTATAAGAAATGCACCTTGAGTTTTAGTGTTCTACAGACACTCTGGAAGGATAACTGTTGAGGGACATATCAATCAATGTTGTTATCCCATCTGAAAGAGAACATAAATCACCTCTAGATTAGAATATGAATGAAACCATGATACATGCAAAATCACTGTGATACTAGCTTTCCCATTCATTTATTGTGGATTGGACCTTGAGTTTTAGTGTTCTACAGACACTCTGGAAGGATAACTGTTGAGGGACATATCAATCAATGTTGTTATCCCATCTGAAAGAGAACATAAATCACCTCTAGATTAGAATATGAATGAAACCATGATACATGCAAAATCACTGTGATACTAGCTTTCCCATTCATTTATTGTGGATTGGGGGGGAAACAAGACTCTAATCACTGTGATACCTTAACATCCACTGGAACATTTGACCGAGTCCACATATACTTTCATTCAAACAAGCAACGCACATTTAAGGACTCAATTGATCCCAATTACAAGCAAAATCACCCAAGATCAAAACATTAAAATAAATAACTGATCTTTACCTGGAAAAACTTCGAATTTCTCAATGGTGAAGGGCTCGGAGGAGCCTTGGTCGCCGGACTCCCATTTCTCGCCAATTGATCTGATTAATTTGCAAAGCAAACGAAAATTTCAACTGATTACACTTGAGATTGTTCCCCAAAATTCGAGATCTTATATAGATCAACAAACAGCACCAACCGCTATGCTAACATTTGATTATATTTCTACCCTTTTCATTTTGTAGTGATCAACATCCATTGCTATGCTTGAACATTTTTTTTATGCACAAGTTTGTATTGTGCTCTGCATGCATCATGCGCACCAGAGAGCTAATACGTAATAAATGAAGGAGGTCATAAGAGCTTCTCCAACCGAACGCTATCCCCTCAAAATGACGCAAAAAATGTTCCTATTCCTCCTCCAACCGAACGCTTTCCTCAGCGCCATTTTGGGGGAGAGCTACAGTGCTGCGCCAGATTTGGCGCAGCACTGTAGCTTTGGCGCAGTGATTTT